CACTCCAGACTATCGGTGGTTTTGCACTGAATGAAATTCGAATCGGCAGCGTGTAAGAATGCTGCATTGATTCTGACAGTTTAAAGTCACGTTGTTCAACCCTAACGGCAAATTTGTCTTTTGACTTCGACACACATTGATATGTTCTCAAGCAAAATGTTTCTGCCACGAGGAAGTGCTTCTGCGTCATTCGCAAGATTCAACCATAACCACAAGTGTTGTTGTAAACACTACTGTCCAGCTCGGACATGAATAATGCATATACACTGTGATACTCCTTAGGGACAGTATAGATATATTAGGTTGTTTTGGTCCCAAACCTCAATAGGCACCGTGGAGGGTGCCTGCCATCGGGGACAGGGGGGATCGTGGAAGGTGGGCAAGGATCCTTGTTGGCATTGAAGACTTTTTCTTACGGCCGACGGCGAAGAGTTAATCGAAGTGGAGGCTCAGGTTGTATTGAATAGAACAAACAAATAGAACCTTTAGTAGTGCGTAAAAAAGTTACGCGAAAACAGTACGATCATTAAACATTCTAATGAACTGATACACACGACTTACGTAGTTAGGCAGTAAACCGAAAACGGACGTCCTCATGTGTCCTTCCGCACGTACGGTGCGGACAGCGGTTAAGCCGCAGAACAGGGACTGTTCGCGCACGAGAGAAGAAACACGGCGAACCGCGAGAGGGAATTACTGGGCCCCTAGTTCGCGTTCAAACCCAATGGTACCCCGTCCGGTCAAGGGCTAAGACAGTGCGCGGACACCTGTCCCGTCCAATCAGGGTCTAGTTAGCATCCCATTTGGTACGAATTCTGACGCACTCCCTACCACTCTGACTGAAAATACTACCCTCATCTAGGGTGGACAAAAGTAAGGTCGACTGCAGCTGAAACATAAAAAGAAACTAGCTCTGGTTTGTTCATGAGCTGGAGAAGATATTCCTATAAAAGGCAGTCTGGACGAGAAATGTCAAAACGTGCCTAATGAGAAAAACGGTCGTCTGAGAGGAGGGCGCGAGCATTAGGTACGTCAAAAGAAGATAAACGGAGGAGATACCGGACACAGCGCGCATGTGTCTCGCGAACGCAGGTGTAGCGGAGGACCTCTGATTACGGGGAATTTTCGTAGATCGCATCTCCCCTTATAATAATAATAATAATAATAATAATAATAATAATAATAATAATAATAATAATAATAATAATAATAATATTCTTTATTCAGACAAGTGTCTAGGAGGATGGGGCAAAAGGCGGTTTAAATCGCCTGACAGGGCTCCATCCCCCTGTACAGTCAGCAGCACAACGTACAGAAACATAGGAACAAAAACAATCAAATACTAATAGTGGGATTACACTAAGATACATTGATATAACAAAAGAAATGCGGCCGGAAACTTTAATAAATCATGTTATACCTGAAAGGTACTTTTTCAGTGTTCGTTTAAATGTGTATATTGTATTGGAATTATTTATCATGGACAGTATTTCAGGGCGGTTGTTTAATAGCTGTGCGATCTGATTAAGTATTCTCTGTTTACCGTAGTTTGTGCGTACTCTGGACTGAGTGAAGTGGGTATGGCGAAATGAGTATATTGATGCATTGTTGATGTAATTTTCATGTACAAACTGAGGGTGTGCTTTTATTTTGTAAAACATGTAAATTGCCAATTTTTGAATGAGTGATTGTTCTACCGTAGGAAGAGAATACTTGATAAAATATGGGCTAGAGTGTTCCTTATATGAGATATTGGCAATTGACCGTACTGCTCTTTTCTGTAGAATGAGCAGCTTGGATATACAGGTCTGTGAGCACGTACCCCAAACCAAACTGCAGTAATTTAAACGAGAATGAACAAGAGTAAAGTATAACTGTCGTTTTAACCAAACCGGAATGATATATTTGAGCCTATTTATAATGCCTATTGACCGGGAGATGTTTGGCCGGATCTGATCAATATGATAAGACCAATTAAGGTTTTCTTGAAAGTATACACCTAAAAACTTGTGAGCTTTTACATATTGAATTTCACTGTTTCTAAATCGTAGGTTAAGTTCTTGATTAATACTTTTATTTTTTGCTCGAAATATCATAAACTTTGTTCTCTCGGTGTTTAGCTCTAATTCATTACATGTCAACCATGCACTTAACTCTAACATCCAATCATTCGCAAGTGATTCAAGTTCATCTATGTTGGCACCAGAAAAAAATACGTTTGTATCATCGGCGTATAGCACAATGTCAGGTGTGTGGGGAATGTTGACAATATCATTAATATACGCCAAAAATAAGAGTGGTCCAAGGATGGACCCCTCGGGAATACCATATTGTATTTTACCGATTTCTGATTAATCGCAACTTAAAGTCGTATATTGCACACGATCTGATAAGTAATTTTGAATAAGTTCTAGGGCTACTCCTCTAATACCATAGTTATACAACTTCTTCAGAATTATTTCATGCTTAATAGAATCAAACGCTTTCCTGAAATCTAAAAATATTCCTAATGTGTAAAGCTTGGTCTCAAAATTGGTTAAAAGTTTGTCCTTGATTTTCAGTAAAGCTTCCTCGGTTGATTTCCCTTTTTGAAATCCATATTGTTGTTCAACAATTAGGTTATTTTTAATAAAATGGTCCGACATCCTGGAGTTTATTATCTTCTCTATTACTTTTGAAAATACTGGCAATACAGATATAGGTCTGTAGTTGTTTAAATTATTAAGTGGCCCACCTTTGTGTATTACTGATACTCGGGCGATTTTTAATTGAGCAGGAAATATCCCGATGCTTAATATTTTATCACAGATTGCTGATAGTGGTTGACATATTACCCCACCAATTGCTTTTATAGGTTTAACTTTCAACTCATCATCGCCGCATGCGCCGCTGTTTCTTAATGAATTTATTACGTTAAGCACTTCAGCCTCTGTAGTTGGTGACAAAAATATAGACTTCACTAAGCCCTCCGCAACGAAGAAACCAATACTGCACCTGTGCGCCGTTGGCCTTGGCCGAAGAGTACCGAGTATCCTAGCGGGTTGCGAAGAGCGTTGCGGGACGGCGAAAGCGACCAACAAAAACTCCCCAATAGGAACTTTTCTTAGACCGCGTTCTCCCCTCCGCTATCCCCTCCACAACGAAGACGACAATACTGCGCCTGCGCAGCGATGGTATTGGCTGTAGAGTTTTGGGTATTGTAGCACGTTGCGGAGATCGTTGGGGGACGGCGAACACGATGTACGAAGACTCCCTATTCATCTTCGGCATTCCGGGGATAGGAAAGCCACGCTTCGGGGCGGCTCTCACGTTGCTGTTTGCATGCCGACTCATAAACCCCAGTTTTTCTCAGCCAGCATCTGGAACCACCCGAACCTGACTTGATGTTTACGAGAACGTTGTTTGAGCTCGAGCTCGGTCTAGTTTGTAGAATGAAGTGCAAGTCGTTTGACGGGAGCAGCTGCTCGCTCCGAGTGCTCTTGTGGGCTTGCGTGGGCTCGCGTTCCCGGACACCCCCGGGTCATCAGCAAGCTCCGAGGCCATGGCCTCGCCGTGGGATAGATATGTCTGTGGTCACGGCGGAAAAGCGTGGTTCAACATTTACAGCGAAATATAAACAAAATACCTAAAACAAAACACCGTCACGGTGGCAAGCGAAAATGCGACCACCTCTACAGGGTCCAACCGACGAACCTAACTCACGTGCCACTATCTTCCAAAGTCAGTAATTCCACTGATTCAGAACTGGCAAGTCGTGCCTGATCTTTGGTGAGGTCAGACGGCACGTCTCAGAACGGAGTGTTTTCGCTAGAATATTCCTCGCTTAGAGCAGAAATTTCCATCAGCAAATGTCTTTCTTGGTTATTTTTTTAACCAATTTCATAATTCTGACAACAGCGCATGGTTAACGGTGCTCTTCGGGAAAACCCAAGGATGCTGGGTTCAATCCCCACCCCTGCTCGTTTCGATCTGCATGAGCATCTTACCGGCGTACTGTCGTGTATCACAACTGCATGGTGCATGTTAAAGACCGCAGTCTAGCGGTTGTACTGCACTCGCTAATTTTTTCATATATAGCTGAAACACAACAAACACATTGGGCTGACTAACTTCCGGCTGTATAAACATACACGCAACAAAATTAGTTTACCGCCTACCTATAAGAAATACCAAAAACTCTGCTCGTCGCAAGTAACTTATTCAAAAAGTTTGTAATGTTTTTTGTTGTATTTTTTAACTCAGCCGTACGGGATTTTATTGTCGCCAACATTCGCATCTCTAATGGTCGATAAAAACCCAAATAATTACTTACTCGCACAACAAGCTTGCTGTCAAGACATTGCGCTTCGCATTTGAGCATAAACAACAATCGCAATCTGTCCCTCTTCGCTACGTTTCACTGTATATCATTACTATTTATGTAAAATTATCCTACGACCCATCCTTTAAAAGACTTTCCATAAAATGTCTCAGGGCGCTCTCATTTCGGAATTGCATTTTCAACCGGACTGCAGTTGTAAGCGCTTGCTTCCTAAACTGTTATTTTTTTTCTTTTTTTTTTATATAGAGTGCAACAGCTTTATACCATAGTTACACGGGCGTCCTTAACCACAGTTAGTTACATGGGCGCCCTTAACCACAGTTAAGTGCGACTGAGGTCAGATTCAACTATGGTCAAGTGTGCCCGGCGTGCATTATAAACCAAAGTTACGCTCAATTATAGTTAGCAGTTACTGCCAACTATACTCTAGTTACCCGGTCACCCTTTATTGCAGTCCGAAATCAGTTGCACTTAAAAGTGGTTAAGAGTGCCCATGTAGGTAAGGTAAAAGACGATTCCTTTTTTTGCCAATATGCGTAACCTCTTTCGGTTGCGCACGCCGCAAATGGTTTCGAATGTCAACAGCGTTTGTAGCCTTGAGGTGTCACGCCTCATCCTTACTGAGGCATTAAAGCAACCAAGAATTATTTGAAAGGTATAATGAGACAAAATGACTTACGAGTGGCATGGGGAACCTTTGCCTGTAAAAAAAAAAGAGAAAGAAAGGAAGCAGATGTTTCAGTTTACTACAAAAACTTCTTCAAACACAATAAAATACGTCCACTAGCATTTGAACGTTATCACATAAAATAAAGTGAGCTCTCGCTTGCATTGCATTCATAGATCTTCATGAGAGCCCCAGCTGCAACACAGACCTCCAGCGGTCGTAAGGATCTGCTAGGGCCACAAGTGAGCTACGCTTATAGTATCGGCACACTCTTCCGCGATATTGTTGTGGGCGCCGCCATCTTGGCGCTTAGCACAGAGCAGACGCAAATGCATATCGTTATTATTCAAAAGTGCGACTTTCTCAGCATAAGAGTCGGTGTTAGGAAGGGCCCGTAATATTGACTATCTCTGCCTCGAATTGTATAAACATTTATTGAGTACGAAGTGTTTCCTCTGATTTTACATAGAGCTTCAGATAACTGGCGACCAAGATTTGAAGAACTAAGACGGGATAGTGTTTTTACTCTGAAGCGCTGCTTTAGTTCTAGGATCTTCCTAGTCTTAGCGAGGAGTAGGAGCACGGTCGGCCGGCCACATCCCCTACCTTCCTGGCGCCCTGGCTGCCACTGGAGGGTGGAGCACGATAACCCCTGCTCACGGATCATTTAAGAAGCTTAGGGCATTGAGAAGTCACTGGAAGAGGATGATCGGTCCACCATATTTCTTCCATATGCTATCATAGCTCTGTATTTACCTTGCGCGCCAACAGCTGGCAGAATGGGTGCCTTACAAACGTGTCCCAACATTCTATTGGTATTCGTAGGCAACACGAACAGTCTTATAAAATTAGGGAAAGTAACATATCCGAAACTTGAAGTGTTGTATTTGGTCATGACTCGATGTCGTGAAGTGACACTGGAAAATCGAAACTAAAACTGTTGCCAATGGTATCGCAAGATGCTTCGCGCGATACTGCCCCCTTAGGATCGCTTCGATTTTGCAAGAGGTCCATTGCCCAGTCGGCGTCATCAGAGTGTGACAATGTATACGTGGAGAAAGAGAAGGTTGTTCGCATGCTTCAATTATTCTAGATGGCGTTACACTATATGCCATGTGCAAACTTCTTGACAGCTATCGTCAACATGCCAATTGGAGCCACCATATTTGGGGTGGTGGACAGGGATTCACATCTTTCAGGTGTGGACAAAGCGCTTCTCCATTGAACTCGGTTTTCATGATATTAGAACAATTTTTTCTGTAGTGAATAGGTTGCATTTTAGTTTCGTTCTAAAGAAGGAAAGAAAGAGGGTCGCGAAATTCTGGAAAGTAAGTGTAAGCAACGAGGTCGCAAGATTCGTCACTCAAGCAGTGAACTGGGTCACGCAGGTCAAGGGACAGTCTTTATCGAAGACGCTGTGTGAAGGGTTCGAATTGGAGTTTCAGCAGGTGATAATATTTTAATTGTACGAGTCCCACTTTGCCGGGACAATTGTCTCTTGGGCGAAACTATCGGCACCGAAACCTTCCATATGGCGGAAATTGGACAATTGATCATGATTACTCTAGATGGCGCTTTTTTTTTTTTGCAAATGATGCATTCCGTTTAATCGAAACATAATTCGTGTGCCTAGCGTACATGAACGACGGAAATTAAAGGTCGTGTATATTATAGCACCAAAGCTCGGAGCACGGTCGCTAAACACGTCAAACACAAATATTATTTGTGTTATGACATGGGGGGGGGGGGGGGGGGCGGGGGGAGAGAGAGGGGGGAGCCGAAAGATTACCGCAAAGTTTTCTTTTCTCACGAACCCGCAGATCCGTTTTTCTTCGTGACGGTTTTCATTGAAGGAGCAAAAAATCCCGACCTTTTCCTAGGTGCCGAACAAGAGCAGCACGAGAGAGCGAGCGGAGACGACCGCGGTCCATACGTGTGACGTCACGACAAAGATTATCAACTGCGACCATCATCTCTGATCGTCTCTAAAAATCACAGCGGAGGCCAACGTTACTGGAGCGAGCTGTTTCGCAGCTCCATATTCTCCCCTGCAGAGGCGACAGGCGCAGGTGGCGGTCACGAGAACTAGCGGCGCTGCAGTCGGATCTCGCTTCCCTGTCTCGCGCGTCGTCTACTACCACCCCGTTGAGAGCTTCCTTTTTTTTTTTTTCCTTTTCTTCTTTTTTTTTTTTTTACTTCCATCTGTATAATAGCAAAAAAAAAAAAAAAAGAGATGATGAAGATGAAGTGTAATACACCACAGAGATCAGAGTCAGCGCAATGTGAGTGTTCTTTCTTTGAGTGTTTGCAATTTATTTTTGTGTGCGTCTGTTTCCTTGCGCTATAAAGTGTTAAGCCTGATTCAGAAAGTTGTGTTTGACTGCGTTTCTGCGAGAAACCAGGACATCCCTTCTGGTTCTATCGCGTGCGAAGATGATTCATTAAATTGGATTCCAAGCTTCATAAGAAGCACAGATATGCAGGTGACTCGCTTTCAGTTTTCGAGGCAACGCAGTCAAACGCACTCAAACGCAACTGTCTGAACCGGCCCTTAGTATGAATTGCCAACTCGCCCCAGCTGAAGTAATGCTATTGAAGCTTCGCAGGCTAAACAATCGGGAAGTAAGTCTCGACTGCAGCGCTGCTAGTTCTCGTGACCGCCACTGAGCCCACGTCACAGGTGTGAAACAAGGCTTGCTCCAGTAACGTTGACATCAAAACAGTCGCAGTTGACAGTCTGGCATCGTTCTCATTTCCGCTGATAAAGAAGGATTTACTGAAAAACGTCTATACTGTTCTTTTCACTGCTGTCAGCATTTTAATATAGTAAACGTTTAGCCCGACGTGGCTACCCTACCGAAAATTCCGGTATAACTTTTCGCTATCCGGATTATGGAACCGGAAATCTATCTGGATTCTATCTGGACTCTATCTGGAATTTAGGTTTTCAGAAATTATTCCTTTGTTCTCAATCTGGATTTCGGGTTTCCAGTAACAAATTTCCGGTTCCTTATTCCGGATAGGGAAAGTTATACCGGATTTTTCGGTAGGGTAGGTCAGAACAAACCTAGTAGCGTTGTCCGTTTTCGGGCGGATTTTGCCTCCGGGCAATTGTCCCCCCATCGGCGAAATCAAATCCTTTTACTGTTTATACTAAGTATACGATTGGCCACATAGGTTAGCAAAAGCGTCAGTGTGGTCGAGTTGCCAAGATTAGCCAAACTGGGATTAACTCTGCTTTCATTAACGCCAATAAGGGTTAGCAAAGGATATTAATACTAACGATGGTGCTTAAAGAACGCGATGACTCCAAGCTTCCATTGTACACAATCAAACCTGTACCGAAAATTTGAACATGCACCATCAAATTTCTTGTTCACAACTGCTAATCCTGGCAGTGACGTAAAGGGTCAGGATTATTAGGTGTTGGCGACGTGAGCGATGGAAAGCGTCGCTGTGGTCGGCCTACCACAATAGGGAGCATTCACTGGCGGCCATAGGTGTGTGCGCGAATGCTGAGCGCGTGCTGACGGCGAGCTTCTACAGTTATTTTGCAACGTGCATTCCGCACCATCATGAGTGCCGGTCTTAGCAGCCAATTGATGTGAGCTCGTTCTGAGCATGCGCTCTAAACAGCACACACAAATATGGCATCCAGTGAATACTCCCTATTGGCCGAATGATGACTATGACGTCAGCAAAGAATGTCTCATCGACGGAAATGAGAGGAATGTAAGAACTTCAATTTTGACTGTGCTGGCAGTGTTTCTTTGAGACCGTTATGATTTCAGGCTTCTAGAATGCTCATTACAAACACCATCGAACTTGTTGTTCACAAGGCGATGACGTCACGAAAGGTAACCGAACGAAGGCGCCACCGAAACATCTCGCCGCTAATGAAAGGACGTCACTGAACCCGCCTGCATACTACAAACCCTAACACAAGCCTCTCGCTTGAAAGTCTGCCATGGCCGCTAGTAGGTTCATGAAACGCGAACAGTCAGAATTTCGAGAAACAGAAGCTTCGTTCGATTTACGTGCAGCTCCTGCACCGGTGCAGAAAAGTGCAGGGCGGTGCACTTCTGGTCGTATCTCAATACACCTACCGGAAATACACTGCCCTACACTTTTCTGCACCGGTGTGAGAGGTGCAGTTAAGTCGAACAAAGCTACTATTTTGAAAATGGCACGCTGAGCTGTTCCTCGTCAATGCTCAGTTGGAACACTTCTAAGCAGGGGAATTCAAATAGGTCAACGGGGAGAAAAACAATTCATCCCCCCCCCCCGGTTGGCGTCAAAAGAGGGGACAAAGGGCATAAAGGGGTAATGGAAGGAGTCGATTGCCCCAGCCCCCGCCGCCCCCCACATCTATCAAAAACTACCGACGTTACCACGCACAACGCCTCTGGGTAACCCCGGCAGGCATGTTCCCTGTGGCGGAAGATGAACTCTAAAGCCGTGAACACCGCCTCACAGCTTCACAATAGTACAAAGTTCAATATTTGCCTCGATACACAAAGAAGATTTCGGGCTTAAATAACCCCTTCCCAAAGTTTTGAAACGTTAGTTTGTTGTCACCAAAAACGTTCATATACCGCGAACTTGCGACAAGAAAGTTCAGAGTATTCATAGCCAGCCTAGTGACAATTTAGGAAGCGTTGAGTATAACGCAGCCTAGGGATGTAGGGGCACGAGGGCACGACGTCATTAGTGCAGCCGTTCAAATCGGCTGGCCCAAAGATTTTGCTCGCGCGCGCTCCAATAAAGCTCGCTATGACTTTGTTTTTCACAATCTCGCTAGAATATGAGCACCGAGACAGCTTGAATGATTGACATCTTTCCCCGCGTGACGCCATCGTCGCGAGTGTCCAATCAGCAAGCTCAGCGAACTTCGGCCCCAACTTTGTGTTTGACAAGTTTAGCAACCCGGTCGAAACTTCTGATTACCGAACCCAGGGAGTCAAGGCCTCTACCACTTTTGATCGAGATGGACGTGCGGTCGAACATTTTCTTTTCCGCATTGATCACTAAGGTTGAGGT